CTGTCTCACTCGTAGATCAGATGGGCAGCAGTTGATCGCTGTAAGGCTCAATCTCTCTTAAACCAATGGAGGTACATCGAGATCTTTCACCTCCCTCCGCAGCAGCAGCTCCAGTGTGGACTAATGCATCCTCCTCCTCTGTGATTCCCAACCAAACCTTCCCTCCTCCGTTTCTGTTTCCGACGGAGAACTGGACCGATGGCCGAACTCCGGATTATGCGCCGGGAGTCGCCGGGATCCTCATCCCTCTCGTCTACATCGCCGTGTGCGTCGTGGGTCTGATCGGAAACACTCTGGTCATCCACATCGTGCTGCGATATTCCCAGGCGGAATCGGTGACCAATATCTACATCCTGAATCTGGCGATCGCAGACGAGCTCTTCATGCTGGGCCTGCCGTTCCTCGCCGTTCAGAATGGCCTGCTCTCCTGGCCCTTCGGATCGCTCATGTGTCGCCTGGTCATGACCGTAGACGCCATTAACCAGTTCACCAGCATCTTCTGCCTGACGGTGATGAGCATCGACCGCTATCTGGCTGTGGTGCATCCTCTCCAGTCCTCTAGGTGGCGCCAGCCGCGTGTGGCCAAAACGGTGAACGCCACCGTATGGGGCGTTTCTTTTGTGGTGGTTTTGCCTGTGGTTGTGTTCGCTGGAGTTCTGCAGGACGACGGGAACTGCAGCATCGTGTGGCCCGAGCCAGCGGAGGTTTGGAAAGCGGCGTTCATCGTGTATACCGCGACTGTTGGGTTCTTCGGTCCTCTGACGGTCATCTGTCTCTGCTACCTGCTAATCGTGGTTAAAGTGCGCAGCTCCGGACGAAGAGTCCGCGCCACATCGATCCGCCGCCGGAAATCCGAGCGCAAGATCACGCGAATGGTGGTGATCGTCGTGGCCGTGTTCGTCTTCTGCTGGCTGCCGTTTTACATCTTAAACATCGTGAATCTGCTGGTTCTCCTGCCGGGAGAGTTCAGAGGGCTGTATTACTTCGTCGTGGTTCTTTCGTACGCCAACAGTTGCGCGAATCCCATTCTGTACGGTTTTCTGTCGGATAACTTTAAAAGAGGTTTCCGGAAAGCCTTGTGCAGGTCCTCCAGGCGCGTGGAAAACCGGGATCAGCCGCAGGGGACGGGAATGGTTGCGTTACCGCTAGAAGAGATTCGAAGGGAACATCTGAAGGTGAGCGAAGTGGAAGAACACAACGCAGACCGAGAGATGGCGAAACTCCGGAACGGGCGTCACGAGGATGGCGCTGTGGGGGGAATGGATGCGCGGCGTGAAGCGACCTCTGACCCCGCAGCTGTCCGTAATGGAGCGCGGCGGACACACAAACACCTGCCGGAGAACAGTGACGACAAACGCTCAGTCCTGGAGATCAGCTGCTTGTAATGTGAAATGTGAATGTTCATTTATGACTATTAAATGCACCATCCATTTAACACTGCCAACTGTGACCAATCAGAAAACACGACCTTTGCTCCTGTTCTTTATTTGTATGTCCATCTGTGATGAAACTGATTGTGTTTGCATGTGCACCAATAATGTGATTTCCATCAGAGTTAGGACTTAATCGAGGTTTACATCACACAAGCAAACCTCTTCACTCCTGTCATTATTCTGATTATTCACTAAGTGTGCTTATTTTTGCTGCCATTTTTTTCTCTCTTTTGCATAAGAATCTCGAGTCAAGAAGTTCCAGACGCCAAAATCAGACTTTATTGGTAGAAACAACAAAGTCGAGATGCCTGTATAGATCCTCTAACAATTACATTAGCAATTTTTTTTTATAAATTACTTTCAAACCTGTATGACCAGTGAGTAACCAAATCACATATCAACTCCCTAGCAACCACCTGAACATGTAAACAACCACATAGCAACTCCCCACCTAGACAACCGCATAGCAATTCCTTAGCAACCACCTGAACACGTAAACAACCACATAGCAACTCCCTAGCAACCACCTAAACACATAGACAACCAAATAGCAATTCTGTAGTAACCGCATGAACACCTAAACAGCTACATAGCAACCACCTGAACACCTAGACAACCGCATAGCAATTCCTTAGCAACCACCTGAACATGTAAACAACCACATAGCAACCACCTAAACACATAGATAACCAAATAGCAACTCCTTAGTAACCGCATGAACACCTAAACATCTACATAGCAACAACCACCTGAACACCTAGACAACCGCATAGCAATTCCTTAGCAACCACCTGAACACGTAAACAACCACATAGCAACCACCTAAACACATAGACAACCAAATAGCAACTCCTTAGTAACCGCATGAACACCTAAACATCTACATAGCAACCACCACCTGAACACCTAGACAACGACATAGCAATTCCTTAGCAACCACCTGAACACGTAAACAACCACATAGCAACTCCCTAGCAACCACCTAAACACATAGACAACCACATAGCAACTCCTTAGTAACCGCATGAACACCTAAACAACTATATAGCAACCACCTGAACACCTAGACAACCGCATAGCAATTCCTTAGTAACCACAGGAACACCTAAACAACTGCCTAGCAACCACCTAAAAAAATCACCCTCCATTTATTTGCTACAATTAATAAACTCTTTGGCTTTTCTTAAATGGTAGTGCCCCAACTTGTCTATTTAAAAAATAAAAAAGAAATAGTTTATTCAAATCATATATGGAGAGCATACAGCATGTAAACCAAAGAGAGCAGCTGAATATCGGACCGTTTGGTGACTGGTGCAGTTTTGTGTTTATTGTTTTCTTTATGTCATTGAATTGCTGAAGTGAAACTGAACAGTGCAAATGATAAAGGCCTGAAACCTAGATTTCATTCATACATTCCATGCTATAAAAATGTACTATATGTATTAAAAATATACCATATTATTGACATATCTCAATGCAGTAACGTGTTTACATTTTTTGTACGTGTTTGCCTCAATCTCATGATAGTTGCATTATGAGGGTGCATGTACTGAAAACATCAATCTGTTTACATGCACTAATTTCCACAATCCGAATGAATCCAATCTGATTTCAGATTCTGAAACCCTAAGCATTGCAATCTGATTCATATATCCATTTACATGTGCATTACATGCATTCTGAACAAAGCTCCAGTGCATGCACTGCAACAGTCGATGTGTTCAGAACCAGAGAAATCACTGCGATAATGTGACTGCAGCTACCTCGAGTATAACTGTTGTTTTTGCCTTGATTTTTTTTTTTTTTTCAAATATTTAGTAAATATTCAGTCTCCTGCACAGTTCATACGACATAAAATATATGCAAGCATGCATCTGTGCACCGTGCAAGATATTTCTGAATC